GTTGCATTTTTCTTAACAGATAAAGTCATCAAGAAGGGATACGTGGATTAGGCTGCTATCGTAAGGTATATGTCATGGTACTGTGATAAACAGAAGGCTATGTGAAAGGGCAAAAAATACTGATTTATTATACTGACATCAAAAAACACCGAAGTTTATGCTGAAAATATTATTCTTCGCTTTTGCCTGCGACAACGTGTGGAAAGTGAGCAAGTTGGAGCTCACCGGGTGCAGAGGTAAAGGCTACCCAGCCCTGGTTAGTCAGACGTGTAACATACTGGTTGAGGGGATCCTGTGAGTTATCTGGCGTGGGGGGCGTTAGTGGTCTGGGGCGCTCCGACCATCTCCAGGAGTGCAGACGCGTGTCCTACACAGCGACAGGCGTCCTGTGTAGGCCCGGGGAGTGTAAACGTATTTAGTACCATGTAGACTTGTCAGCTTGTTGAATTCACCCCCCACCCCCCGCCCACACACACACACACACACACAAAACTTCCTACCTGCTGAAAAATGGTTGATGTAATACCAATCTACAAGAAAGGGGTAAACGGCAACCGTTAATCTACAGACCCGTATCACTAACGGGTATCCCCCCCTGCAAGTTGCTAGAGAGACTGATCTGAAACAGGCTATTGGAACATTTAGAACAGATCAAGTTTGTCTCAAGGCACCAGCATGGTTTTAATCATGGAAAATCTTGCTTGTCAAACTGCCTGGAGTCCTACAAGATGACAGAAATCAAACAAGAGAGAAAGGGGCGGGCAGACTGCATATTCCTTGAATGTTAGAAGACATTTGATACGGTCCCGCAGGAATGACTACTCAAACTAGAGAAGCAAGCTGGCACATCTGGAAGAGTCCTAAGATGTGTCAATGAGTATATATCTATCTATTTATTTATATATACAAGAGTTCTTACATTCTTGTACAGCTATTAGTACGCATAATGAGCATCTCTCAGGAAGGAAGCAAAGGGCTACAATGAGAGCAGAGACATCAGATTGGTTACGAGTGGAATACTATGATGGTCGGTTGTAGGGCCCTTCCTGTTTCTAATATGTCAATAACCTAAAAGAGAAATTGGCTCTTTCATAACAATGTTTGCAGATGACGCAAAACTAATTAGAAGAGTCAGGTTAGAGATAGATTGTGATGCATTGCAAGTGGATTTGGATCAACTAGAGAAGTGGTCTAACAAATGACTGCTAGATTTTAACCCAGCCCAATGGAAAGTTATGAGGATTGAAACAGGATTACGATGACCAGTACAACAGTATAAGATGGAGAGAAGATATTTTCCTCAATCAGAAAATGCGAAAAACCTGGAAGTGGGCACAACCCCAAACCTGATGCCAGAAGCCCACATTAGCAGAATAACAGCAGCAACATATGACTTACCCGCCAAAATCCGTGTATACTTGAGGAAACTGGACAAAGAGGCTTTCTGGGCCTTATATTCAGCGAGGATAAGACCCACTCTTGAATATGCAACCCCATCATGTATCCCTTACCCGGAAAAGGGCAAGGCGAACTAGAAAAAGTTTAAAGATATGCAACGAGACTCGTTCCGGAGCCGAGGGAATCAAGCTATGAGGACCCTACCACGCTGGAGGAAAGGAGAGATAGGGGGGGGGCGGATAACAACATAAGATTCTAAGAGAAATTGACAACATAGACAAAGCAACAATGTTCAAAACTAGGAACAGCAGAACGAGAGGTCTTAGATGGAAACTGGTGATGCAAAAGAGTCACAGGAAGAATTTTTCAATGTTAGAGCTGTCGGTAAATGGAATGGGGTAGACGTAGAAGTCGTTGAAGCTAATTTAGATTCAGAATTTTAAATGTAAATATGATAAAAGCGTGAAAAATGAGTCATTGCATTAAGCGGAATGCGGGGCTAGGAGCCTTATTTCAACCCTGCAAGCACATCTAGGTGAGTGCGCGCACACACACACACACACACACACACACACACACACACACACACACACACACACACACACACACACACACACACACACACACACACACACACACACAAAGCCAGCTATCTCCAGCAGCCTCCCCCCCCCTCTCCACTGGTGTCTGGCATCAGATCCCCTCTACCTCAGCCTCGACAAAAGTCAGCGAGAGTCTCATCCTAGCGCCTCTCGGATCCAACACTCCAGGCCATAATGGGCTGGATTCCATCTGCCTCCTTCCTGTCCTGCCTTAAAGGTATTCCAGTCACAAGACGAGGCTGCCTGGCCGGGGTACCGGGGACGGTCCCCGGACGGCCCCCTCGGGGAGAGTTAAGGCCACGGAATTTGGTTGTGGGGAAGGGAGGAGTGGGTTGTGGGGAGGGGTGATTGAGAGGGGCGGAGGGGGTTGTGGGGAGGGGTGATGGAGAGGGGAGGAGGGGGTTGTGGGGAGGGGTGATGGAGAGGGGAGGAGGGGGTTGTGGGGAGGGGTTATTGAGAGGGGAGTATTTTTTTTTTTTTTTTGGAGGGGTGTTGACGAGGGAGTTGGGGATTGTGGAAGTGTTGATGGCCAAAGGTGGAGATGATTAAAGGAATGGTAGAGGATTATCAAGTAATTATCTGGATATTTCCAAGTAGATAGACCCGGACACCGCCGGTTATGCTATCTCCAATTCTCCTTTCTTCTCTCCCATCCTCTCTTCCTCCATCCTTTCCATTCTCCCTCCCTCCTCATATTTTGCTCACTCTCTGTCTCTCCCAATAACCATAACTTTTTAGAGTAACGTTAAATTAACATTATCGACGTTGATAACAGTTTTTTTTATTAATACATTAGGTACATCTGCATTAGTGCAGCTGCCTCAGATTATATGAAGTGGAGTACAGTGTGTCAAAAAAGCTAACTACGTGATGCTAAAAAAATCCCCATCACACAGGATGGTTAGTCATACAGAGGCATGTGATAGCAGTCTGCACTGACAGACTCCGGATGCATTTTGAGGATATCATCAACACAAGAGTGAATAAGATAGCAGTGGTAATAAAAGTCCCCATCTCGCAGGCTGGTTAGTCATACAGGGCCATATGTTTAGTAGCCTGTACTGGCAAATTTAGGGTACACTGTGAGAATATTTTCAAGAACACGAGACTGAATAAAGTAATTGCAAAGCTCCAGGTACCTCATGCCACTATTATTTTTTATTAATACATGAGGTACATCTGCATTTGCAGCAGTTTAGACCCCGACCTCAGACAGACCAACGGACAGACGGACACATCCTCTTTCATCAGATATAAATAGATTGCGTCAGTTATAAAATATTCAGGGATAATAATTAATTATTTTGGTATTCACACAATGTTTGTGTTGCATCGCGGGTGTTTTGTGTTGCATGAGCGCGGGTGTTGTAGCGTGAGATCTTGCGGTGACTGGCTGCACCAGGATGCTGGTCATGTCTTGCCATCTGCTGCGTCTTCATTAATGGTCCAGCTGTCAGTCGCTGGCATGATCTCTTCCCCGTCAGCACCTGCTTCATGTTATGGTGGAATGTGGGGGGAGAGGGAGAGAGAGAGAGAGAGAGAGAGAGAGAGAGAGAGAGAGAGAGAGAGAGAGAGAGAGAGAGAGGGAGAGAGAGAGAGAGAGAGAGAGAGAGAGAGAGAGAGAGAGAGAGAGAGAGAGAGAGAGAGAGAGAGAGAGAGAGAGACTGCAACTCTCTTGCTTACTTCACTACCTAGCACATCCCTCATTGCACACTAATGCCCCCATCCCTACCACCACCCTTACCCTGATCAATCACAACCCTGCTTTTACCAACAACCATAAACTACCACTATTCTTGTTAACAAGCTAGATACCGTAGAGGCAATCTAAGCTTAACCAAGTAATATCGTGTAAGATACCACAGGCTTGGTTATCCTTCCCCTTAACACAGTGTTGCTCACATAGGAACCTGAGACTAGCCCCATGTTGTCACCTCACGAGGTAACTCACTCTCAAGTGAATCACCAGTACACAAGGATGTACCAGTACACCAGGATTACCAGTACCAGGATGACCAGTACACAAGGACGTACCAACCGTACGTGAAGGACGTACGCGTGTATTGATACGAACGGACGTTCGTGAAATCTTACAGCAAACGAATCGTCTACTTCGTCGATACAGCTTATCGATATTGACCACTCACTATAACACCGTCCACCACTCACTATATAACACAGTCCACCACCTCACTATAACACCGTCCACCACTCACTATAACATCAACCACGACTCACTATAACACCTGCACAATAAAATGTACCCAACAACCCAAACTATATATATTATAAACCCAACACACATACACAAAAAGTTAAACGATAGTGTAACATTTCACAGTTAATGAGAGACGTCCCAATTAAATACCAGTCCACAGACCTCCAGATTTAATTAATTTTGCTCATATTTAATACAAGCAATTATGAAAATTGTAAAAGCCTTTCCAACCATGTAATTAAACCAGACATCCACGTGTTGCTATACAACGCTGCTTATATATCAGGCGGACAACATCATTCTCTGAAGAGTCTCTCTCATATTGCTGTGAATGATTAATTGGTATTGTTCGTGTTTTGACTTGATTGTACTTTATTATTAAGGTTTCAACAGCAGTGACGTGAGTGACTCTTCCTTCAGGAGTGACGTGACGGACTCTCCTACAGGAGTGACGTGACGGACTCTTCCTTCAGAAGTCGAATCTCAGTGCCAGATAAGCTCAGATGAGTTGCACTGTGTACGATTATGGCTAACTCAAACCACTTCACATTTGCCGCTTATCAAATCAGAACTGGTTGGTAACCGGTTTTAGAGTGGTGTTTATGGTCAGTGTCCCCTGAACATAAGATGCTTGAGGACACAACGGGTCGTACCTGTACCTTAGCAGGGTACGGGAGCCGAGGTACGACCGACGGTACGTATACACAATGTGGGTGAACTGTCGCATCTTGGGGATTTCCACCGTCTAGCGGAAACGTCCAATGGCATTATCTGTGAAGGCGTGACCTGCAGAGCATCGCGTGGAGTGCCACGGTTGCCATCACACGGCCGCTCTCTCAACCCTGTGATATATCTTCCTCTCTCTCACATTTACTGAGTCTTATAAACTAGACTATGAGCGGGTGAAGCAGTATGGCTGTAGCAGGTGTGGGATGAGAGCGACATGTTGGTTCACTTGGCATGTTTAAGGTATTGTCTTTAAGTGAGGTTGTGGTGTAGTGTAACGTCTGGTGGGTTTGTAGGACGCTGAGGTGATTACTGGGTGTCATAGTACACACCTGCAGGGGAAGGTGTACAGCAGCTGACACAATGGTGATCAGCTGGCGTCTTGTGCCTACGGCATTCCTCTTCATTCTCTGCCAAGACCTGTCATCTCCAGCATCTTCGCCTGCCGGAGATACTTGCCTCTTGGAGACCAAGAGTACCAGTGGTTGTGAGCCAGACCTCACCTTAAACTCCTCCAGTAACTACATTCTGGTGAAAAGATCAACTCAGAAGGACCACAACCTGACTCTTTTCGTCAAGCCAGGAGGCGCCTTCTCCCTAAACATCACCGTGGGCTTGGCTAAGCTCGCTAGTGCTCCTGAAGACGTCAGCACCCTCCCTGAGCACCTGTGGCAGGGAGTCAAGAACTGGCTCTTCCAAGGCCCTCTGGAAAAGGTTCGCAGCAACGTTAACAGCCTTCTATCCTCCGTCAGCAGAAAATTCGGGAACCTGACCACTGGTTCTCATACCCAACTGTTGACAGCGAGTGCCCTGAGGGCGACAGACGTCTGCCACTGGTACAACCTGACCATAGAGTTGATGCGCAATGATCAATTCGGCCCTGACCACTGGGCACTCCGTGTGTGGGTTGACGGAGCCTACTCAGACTACCCAACTAAATATTGGTGGAACTTAAACTGGGTGCTGTGGGTGGAGGTGTCGTCCCGGGGGTCGTCGCAGTGGGTGACGTCAAGAACGACGGTGTGTCCGTCACGACCCTGGGTCATGGTGGTGGTAGCGGTAGTCGTTGCAGTCGCTGTCGTCGTGGTTGTCGCTGTTGTGACGTACTGCTTCTGTCACCGGAGGTGGGGCGGTGAGTGACAGCCAGGTGGTGAGTGACAGCCAGGTGGTGAGTGACAGCCAGGTGGCGAGTAAATGCCAGGTGGCGAGAGAATGCCAGGTGGCGAGTGACAGCCAGGTGAATAATCAGTGAACTCCATATATCTATCCTTGCATTACTCTCCTGTTCTCTTTCGTCTTCCGAGTGTTTTATTTGTGTGTTTGAGGGTTTGTTGACCATGCAGCTCATCTCCTGTGCTCTACAGCCTCTTCTAGCATTGTCATTAATAGCTGCCTCCTAAGCTTGTGTGTGTACTCACCTAGTTGTATTTGCGGGGGTTGAGCTCTGGCTCTTTGGTCCCGCCTCTCCACTGTCAATCAGCTAGTGTACAGATTCCTGAGCCTACTGGGCTCTATCATATTTACATTTGAAACTGTGTATGCAGTCTGCCTCCACCACAACACTACCCAATGCATTCCATTTGTTAACTACCCTGACACTGAAAAAATTCTTTCTAACGTCTCTGTGGCTCATCTGGGTACTAAGTTTCCACCTGTGTCCCCTTGTTCGTGTTCCACCCGCGCTAAAGAGTTTGTCTTTGTCCACCCTGTCAATTCCCCCTGAAAATTTTATAGGTGGTTATCATGTCTCCCCTTACTCTTCTGTTTTCCAGGGTTGTGAGGTTCAGCTCCCTTAACCTTTCCTCGTAACTCATTCCTCTCAGTTCCGGGACCAGTCTGGTGGCTTACCTCTGAATCTTCTCTACTTCTTCTTGTGTTTAACAAGGTATGGACTCCAGGCTGGAGCTGCATACTCCAGGATTGGTCTTACATAAGTGGTATACAGGGTCCTGAAGGATTCCTTACACAAGTTTCTAAAGGCAGTTCTTATATTGGCCAGTCTAGCATATGCCGCTGATGATATCCTTTTTATGGGCCTCTGGGGATAGGTTCGGTGTGATATCGACCCCCAGATCTTTCTCTCTATTTAACCCTTGTAAGATTTCACCTCCCAGATGGTACCTTGTGTTCAGCCTTCTGCTCCCTTCGCCTAATTTCATTACTTTACACTTTCCTGAGTTGAACTTTAGCAGCCATTTTCTAATCATTCCTCCAGTTTGACCAGGTCGTCCTGTACTCTCTATCTTCATTTGTTTTGATTCTTCTCATAATTTTTGCATCGTCAGCAAACATTGAAAGGAATGAGTCTATACCCTCTGGAAGGTCGTTTGCATATTCTAGAAACAGGATGGGTTCGAGTACAGAGCCCTGTGGGACTCCGCTGGTGACATCTCGCCACTCTGATGCCTCCTCCCTCATGTATGTGTGTGTGTGTGTGTGTGTGTGTGTGTGTGTGTGTGTGTGTGTGTGTGTGTGTGTGTGTGTGTGTGTGTGTGTGTGTGTGTGTGTATGTGTGTGTGTGTACTCACCTAATTGTACTCACCTAATTGTGTGTGCATGTGTGTGTATGTGACTGTGTGTGTGTCAATATATTTATCAATATCTGCCTATTAATGTTTCCTCCTGGTCTGCCCCACAGCGAGCACGTTGCCCAACGACCCCGTCACCCCGGGGACACCACCACCACCTGCAGGCCAGGGCAAGGAGGAGAAGGTCAGGAAGGTGACCCTACTGGGCGTGTCCCGCGCTGTCACCCCCAACGCCAGTGGCTGGACCTTCTTCAAGGTCACACGCGGGGACAAGGGCACGGGCACGCCATTACTTGAGTGGCCATTCTAACTTTCTTAGCCACGCCTTGGTTCACCTTCAGAAAGTTAACGCAAACGTACATTAACTTTCTGTGCTTTAATTCCACGCCTTAAAGAGGACGTCACTTCCTCAGCATCAATCGCAGCCTCCAGCCTCAGAGGTCATCACAGTAAGGAGAGGTCAAGGCGAGTAACGGTGAAGGTCACTGTACACAGTACACACACACAGTACTTTACCAGCGATATATATAATTATTTATTTGTTTGTCGATGTTATAACTAGCGACTTGCATTATAAATTAAGTCATGACCTTAAAAATACACATTAAAAATGATAACATTA